TAATAATAATAATAATAATAATAATAATAATAATAATAATAATAATAATAATAATAATGATAATAATAATAATAATAATAATAATAATAATGATAATAATAATAATAATGATAATAAATGATAATAATAATGATAATAATGATAATAAATAATAATAAAATTATTATTATTATTATCATTATTACTGTTATTATTATTATTATTATTATTATTATTATTATTATCATTTTATAATATTATCATTTTATGATATTATCATTATTATCATTTTATAATATTATCATTATTATCATTTTATAATATTATCATTATTATCATTTTATAATATTATCATTATTATCATTTTATAATATTATCATTTTATAATATTATCATTATTATCATTTTATAATATTATCATTTTATAATATTATCATTTTATAATATTATCATTTTATAATATTATCATTATTATCATTTTATAATATTATCATTTTATAATATTATCATTATTATCATTTTATAATATTATCATTATTATCATTTTATAATATTATCATTATTATCATTTTATAATATTATCATTTTATAATATTATCATTTTATAATATTATCATTTTATAATATTATCATTTTATAATATTATCATTATTATCATTTTATAATATTATCATTTTATAATATTATCATTTTATAATATTATCATTTTATAATATTATTATTATTATCATTTTATAATATTATCATTTTATAATATTATCATTATTATCATTTTATCATTATTATTATTTTATTATTGTTATTAATTTCATTATCATTATCAATATTATTATTATTATTATTATTTATATTACTGTTATTATTATCAGTATTACTATTTTCAGTATTACTATTATCAGTATTACTATTATTAGTATTACTGTTATCAGTATTGCTATTATCAGTATTACTATTATCATTATCAATATCTATTATGAACAATATTACTATCATTATCATTATTATTATTTTTACCATCATCACCGTTCTTCACGTTCAAGAGACAGGGAGAGAGAGAAACAGGTCGAACCCAAAATCAATAAAATGTGTACCATTATCCTACAAACGTACTTATCAACACCACTCTAATTGCTATTAAAAATAATTAAGAGATAAAGAGTTAATATAACATCATTACTCTTATTAATTAAATAATTAATATTAATTAAAAGATGAAAAAGTATAAATGTAAAACTAAATATAACGTAAAATGGGAAAGTGATTCCCCCGTTCCGCGCGCACGTCCCCTCGTCACCGTCTTCAATGCGCTGATATAATCCCCGCCACGGTCTCCAGCTGTTAATATCATTCTTGGAAGTGATACAACTTAGTTCTGTCTATGTGAAAACAGTGACGGTGAAAACGATAGGTTATTTCATCTTCGTGGATGGTATATAACTTTGTCGCATTGAAAGTGAAATTCGGAAATATTGTGTCTGTTTAAAACACGTGTTCTAGAGAAGTGATTCTTCAGGTACTGGATTAACGGTAAGTCAGTGTTTGTTAAATAGGAAAACATCCACAATAAAAAAAGGAATTGAATCGTGAAGTTTCTGCATTAAACAAGTAACCGAAATGGATAATTCCTTATATGATGAGGATCTCTTTACATGTTCGAAAAGTCATGATTGAATTTCATTACTAATTGTGACTTTTCCTTTAATGTAGTAATCTATTTTTTATTAACGTGATTGTGAATATTATAGTTTTTGGGTGATTCTTGGTATCATGTAAGTGTGCTATTATATCGGGAAATACTACTCCAGTTATATCTGAAAGTATAACGGTAAATGATGCATATACTCTCTTCACAGGAACAGCTTCCGCCTCACATGGAAGATATGAACTGAAGAGAGCTGCTCCAGAAACCTAACAATGGCAAGTACAGGATATTCGTTTGTTCTTTTAAACGAAAAATAATGGTAGGGACTACTCATTCGCCTGTTCTAGTGATACGATCTGTATCCTATTTATTCTAATTCTATTTTTTTCGACCAAACAGGATTGCAAAGTTTGCCTCGACAAGTTTAACGAGGAAGACAAGAGGCCTCGCTACATACCCTGCGGTCACACCTTCTGCTCATTCTGCCTGAGCAACCTCCTGAAGAACGGTTCCTTATCCTGTCCGACCTGCCGCGCGAAACACACCACCTCCGACATCGCACAGTTTCCCATTGCTTATCTCGTGGAAGAGCTAATCAAGAACTGTACTGTGAGGAGGTCTTTGGCGAAAGCAGGTTCTACGAGCTCCCTCCCCGAGTCAAACAATGGAGAGAGGAAAACGATCAGCAAGAAGCTAAGCTCGCTGAGAGAGGAGCAAGAAGAGAGCATAGAAGTCGTCGATGACACTTGTGAGAAAGTGTTCACTGAACTAGCTATGTATAAAGCTGCTCTTGTTCACTGGCAGGCAGATCATGATAAATATGTAGACAAGATTACCAAACTCCTGATTGAGCCAAACGAGGAGCTGAGGCGACTGCTGGCGGACGAGAAGCAGGCCATAGAAGACGCGTGGCGAGGAGGACTAGTGCGCCAGGGGGGGTTGTCCTTGGCTTTGTCTGAACTGTCCAAAGCAGAAACCGCACAGCAGGTAGTAACAGCAATAGACGCCGCTGATCAGCACCAGACTGCAGCAGAAGAATGGACCGAAAAGTGTCTCGAAGGTTTCCCGAATATTACTCTTGCTCACAGATCGAATAAGGTATGTAGAAGTTTTTTAGACAACTCATTTAAGTAACGACATGGCTTAATCCTATTTTTGTAAGGTACTAACTTAAGACAATAAGCAACGATATTATTTTATTTTCTGATTGTTTCATTATTTCCAGTTACGAATGCTGTTTAAAAAAGCACTGGAGATCATAAATGAAGGAAACGAGGACGGTATTTGCGCCCCCATGCACCTGGCGGGCTCCAAATACAGCATACCCCAAAAAGTCACTTTCATTCGTGAATTGGCATTGGTGAAAATCACGGTAAGAATTATAGGTTGACTCATGTTTTCTATGGTGTAATGTAATTCATGTATATTATTACTTTGATACAATTAGATCTCTTCATTAATGTATTGCTATTGTCCACTAGGTTGAAAGTCTCCGTCGCCCAAACGGGTCGGTGAAGACCCTATTGGATGCCGGCGTTGTTTTTGCAGTGAAAAAGGACGAGGAAGGAAAGAACCGTTTTGCTAAAATATCTCTGACAAACAACAAGACTTGTCTTCATCATCTGACTGATGTTCCTCCATCCACAAATGTTTATACCTTACAGGTCCGTAGCCATTATTTGACACTATATAGATGATATGACTGAGTTTTATTTTCAAAAGTTTTTACATTGCGTATAGCGAATAATACAGAGCCGTTCTTCTAATGCGTCCGATGTTTTAATGATCAATTGCATTAACCTCGGATTTTTCCTGAAGCACAGCTGTAATGGATCCGTTAGGCAACTCTGTCCTCCATGCTGCAGCACTACCAAAGCCTCAACATTGCTTCTTTCTCTTTGCAGTATGACGAGATCAAGTCCCAGATAAACGCGTCCAACACCCTGACGTTCCTGGACTTGGTGTGGCCGGGCTCGACGCAGCGGCGACGCGTCCACGTCCGCCTGAGCCCCGAATCTGCGCGGGGCCGACACTTCATCCTGATGTGCACGGGGGAGGAAGGGCCTTCTCTCGCCGACACCAATTTCCAGAAGGTCCTTCGCAAGGGCGGGCCTGGAGAACTCGTGATGGCCGGGAACTACTCGTGCGTCAAGGGCTCGGCCATCTTGCCCAACGGTGACAAGTACAGAAGGAAGGCCACGGCTGGAGTGGTGTTTGGAGTGCCTCACTGGGATAAGGTGTGGGATGCCCGCTATTATGGAGTGTTTCACATCGCCACCCGAGACTGTCCGAGCTCGTACTATTACACCGCTTTCGGCCAGGTGGAGAGCGGCCTGGAAACCTTGGTGACAGCTGCTAACTTGGATGATATCACCTGTGTGAAAATCGCGGAGTGTGGCGTGGTGTTCTGAGAAGGAACTGAGGAGACGGTGAAAGGAACGAGATAGCATACCTGCGTGAAACCATACCTGTATAGTATCTCGGGTTCCTTGCAATATTGATTATACAGTTCGTTATGTGTATTGTATATTTTACGAAATAAAAAATCTTTTCTTAGAAGAATCGCATATCCTTCATTAGTCACCCTATTTCATTCTTTATCGGGCTGATCTGTAGAACAAGGGTCTATATAAGTATAGTCATTAGTATAGCTATACTTATGTAGTATAGTTAGACTTATAGACCTTACGATTAAAGCAACCTTTTCAAGACAGGAAAAACACAGTATACTTACATTATTTCCATATACGTCATGTCATTTTAAAATAACCACGTAGCTTATAATGTACTGCCCAATTGCATAAGTTAGCCTACCAATCTTATTAAAAATAAAGTAGGCCAGAATTCTGATACACACCTTCACACCCACAGCTAGGTCCTCGCATAAACAAGAACACACACTTTACATACTCGTACCTTGTCAACAACCTGCTGATGCATTAAATATTGTAGTATCATGTTAGTCGGAAGAATTGCTTGAGTATTATCCAAGATGATTTTAAAATAGCCGTGTTAGTGGACCATCCATCATTAGTAATAGCCATGTGATCGGTAATTATTTGAAGATAACATCGCTGATCAGAGGTTGGGCAAGTAAGCTGTGGTATGACTCCATAATGCATAGTGCTCTTTTTTCAATATATAAGATATCCCAGACAAAAATCTAAACAATTTCTCCGTGAGTGTCTAACTCTAGGGCACGAACTGAAACCTTTCGTACCGGCAGGCCATCACCCAACGCTCACCAACCCCTGAGCCAACACCGCCATCTATTGACCGCAACTCGCACCATCTTTGCATCACAAACTTTCACCCGAAGTTTTCCTTTTTTCCTACTTTCCCTTCTTCGAGACTAGAAGTGTCATCGTGATGTAAACAAACTCTCTGAAGCAAAACCAGTGAAAGTGGGGAATATACCGGCAAGAGCGATAACAAACGACACAATAGCGGGAAAATGGGGTTTGTTAAGTACATGCTCCTGACGTCCGTGTTGATAGGCCTGACGAGTGTGGTTCTACACGAAGTTTACCCCCAATATATCTCCCTGTTGATGAAAAATGAGCAAGTCCGGTCAGCCACCATGGCCGTGCACAGGCTCCTAAGGGACCTCTATCCGAGCAGCGGAAAGGACGAAACGAGACCAACCACCGCGAAGGGAAGCAAGAAGCACAAGGAAAAGCTCTTCACCGCGGAGGAGCTGAAGAAATACGACGGAAAGGAAGGGAGGAAGGGCCCCTACCTGGCCATCCTGGGGAGGGTCTACAACGTCAAGAAGGGCAAGCAGCACTACGGGCCCGGAGGCGGATACGAGTTCTTCTCAGGTGCGGTTTGCGGGGGAAGGATGCCTTTGCCTATCTTCTTGCTGGTATTTGTTACCGAGAGCGATGTAGCCTCCAGAGATGAGGTCTCGAAACCAGGGTGACATATGAACCCAAAAATGCAAACCCAACCTTTCCTACCTTCTGTTTATTTCCTAGATAGGGGAGGAAGAACCCCCTGTACCCCCCTTTATTAGTACTGCATACCAACTTACAGAAAATGGACATTCAGAACTCTGTGTGAGGGTGTGGTAGACTGTCTCTGAGCAGTGACATGCTGAGGATAATTTCACCATTTTGCTGTCAATAGGAGTTTGCTGCAGCTGTACCTGTGTTTTTCATTACTCTATTTCTTATGCTCTTTAAGATGACAATGTCCATTTCCTTCTGTCTGTATGCGTCACTCTCAGTAACATTAATCAACTTATTGATTTATTCATATACACTGACTTTTGTTTCAAATCAAAGACTTGGTATTTGTTAACGAGAGCGATGTAGCCTCCAGAGATGAGGTCTCGAAACCAGGGTGACATATGAACCCAAAAATGCAAACCCAACTTTTCCTACCTTCTGTTTATTTCCTAGATAGGGGAGGAAGAACCCCCTGTACCCCCCTTTATTAGTACTCCATACCAACTTACAGAAAATGGACATTCAGAACTGTGTGTGAGGGTGTGGTAGACTGTCTCTGAGCAGCGACATGCTGAGGATAATTTCACCATTTTGCTGTCAATAGGAGTTTGCTGCAGCTGTACCTGTGTTTTTCATTACTCTATTTCTTATGCTCTTTAAGATGACAATGTCCATTTCCTTCTGTCTGTATGCGTCACTCTCAGTAACATCAATCAACTTATTGATTTATTCATATACACTGACTATTGTTTCAAATCAAAGACTTGGTATTTGTTCAAACAGTGACCATATTACCTCAAAACAGTTGTCAACATTTTGAGCTTTCCTAGGAATCTTCAAACATCATAATGTGACCAGAAAACCCTCCCAACCCACTCATTATCACTCTTCCATAGAGGAGGCTCTACCCCAAGACCCCACCCAATGGCCTTGAAGGAGTCTTCGTACAGCATTTTGTCACAACCTGTTTTCTTTATTTTAGTGCAGTTTTTGTGTAAATATATACCAGTTTTATTTAATGTATCTATCATTAATATATTTTTTTTTATAAAATTCACTTCATAATTTACATGTATTGCTTACCGTGTAAGTGGCAGCTGGATGAAGGGGACCTACTAGAATTTTTGGTTAGTTAGATGATATCCTATAATAACCATCAGTGTTATATTATCATTACATTTACGTCATGTTTATATGATTAATTTTTCTCCTTGTTTTTTAGGCAGGGATGCTAGTCGTGCTTTTGTCAGTGGAGACTTCTCAGAGGCAGGCCTGGTGGATGACATTTCAGGGCTGTCAAACCCTGACTATATTGGCCTTGACGATTGGGTCAATTTTTATGAAAAAGACTACAAATATTTAGGTATGTTATTTTGATGCAAAAATTTATATTGATAAGAAATGATATTATGCAGGTGATGTGAGTAAGATGATTTGTTTAATTTATGTAGTGTATCAGTGATAATCAATGTGTGTGAGGCATTTTAAAATATTGAAATTGTATTTTTTAAGTCTTCTTTTGACTGGAATGGATTCTAAGGAAGATCTTGAATTAGTAACTAACAATGTTTTCTACTTGAATCCATAGGCTGTGATAGTATTCAAGGTTTATGTAGCATGTAATCTTGGGATAAATTCATAAGCATAAAGGTTATGAAAACAGATGTTCTCACTCTTTTCTTCCTCAGGCAAGCTAATTGGCCGGTACTATGATGAGCAGGGAGAGCCCACACAGTACAGTAATCTGGTGCAGCAGTGGATATCAGAGGCTTATGCACAGAAGGAGGACGAGAACCAGGAGAAGAGAATTTTCCCCCCATGTAACTCAGAATGGACACCAGAGGCAGGATCGAGAGTCTGGTGCACAACAAAGAGGTAGGCTAAGGTGTTTTTAGATCAGGAGATATAATAGATAAATTTTTATTTGTTATGATTTATTTTACATATGTTTATTGATATTTTACATGTATGATTAGACAATACAGGTTCCATAAAGAGGATTTACTGGTAGACATGTACAATGTAATTATTTCTGTTTCTATGAAAGTTATTTAGAAATACAAGTCCAAAGTTCCTGTCTTCTTTTGAACATCTTTGAGAAATTTATGAATTATTACATGATAATGATTACCATATTCATAATGCTTATCTTGCTTTGGCAGCGGTGGAATACAGCGAGACTGGACGGGAGTTCCAAGGAAACTCTTCAACCCTGGCCAGGGTAGATCAAGGTGTGCTTGTGTAAAGAACTTTGGCGCACCATCGCATGACCCAAATAGAAAGCCAAATGATAATAGAGGAGATCTTGATAACCCAAATATACAGGAATACAAAGGATGTCTACCAGAGGAGACATCATGTTATATTAAAGAGAAATAAATGTTTTAGTTTTTAGGAGACAGAAAAGCTATATATGCTATAATGTTAACATTAGTAAAGAGAAAGTAATTTATTATAGCTTAATTTATTAAACATTTTTAAATTTACTTTTTCAGAAATGTTAACTTACATGTTGCTAATGGCAGCTGAAATTTGTAACTACTTTTAGTTATAGATTTTATGGTAGTGCATAAAAGTTGTGAACAGACCTCAAAAACTGAAGAGATTTCACTTGCAGCCATGCATATTTATTTTGCATTTTTAATTAATTGTTTTTAAAATGATATCTGGGATGAAACTGATGGTAAAAGAACATAAAAGTTTCAATATATTACTCATAGCTTGATAATAAAAACAAATAAACATTATGATATGATCTTAAACTTTTGCAATCACATGGATCCAGAAGTATGTTATCTTCTGTATTAATTTCTTATACACAATCCCCCTTTTGCTAATATTTGAAGGGTTGTTAAGAAAATTATAGTTTGTAAGGATAAATATACTCAATACTGTATTTCATTCTCAATCACAATATATATATATATGTTTAATATATGGCATTTTACAGTGATAACTGTGCTCACATTTCATTTCTTATTTGAAGGGGAAGTCTTGAAGTTTGTTAATGTTTAGCTGGTCATAGATCTGATTTGCAGGTACGGTCAACATAGTGAAATCTTTTTCTTCATGACATTTTTGTCAGAAATAATTGCTATTGAATAATGTCAGCCTCGAAATACTTCTTTTTGTGGAAACACAGACAGGCCTATTTTTGTTGCTGAAATGGGTTACTGTATTCTTGACATGCACTCCATGTTATATCCGTCCATGTGATAATTTAAGAAATTTTGAATGATTTCTTCAACAAGGTATTTGAAAGTTCCTTAGTAATAATTGTTTTATGTTACTGTAAAGATAATAATTGCCTTACATTACTGTAAAGGTAGCTCAAATTATAAATTAAAACTTCTGGTTGTAAAGTAATGCTCAATCACACTAATACCATTGTATGGCTCATTCTTATTTTCATTGGTATTTAGTACTGCTACAATGGTAAAGTGGTATAGATTATGCATCTAGTTTAAAGAGATTTGTCAATCATTATTTTTGGACAAAATCAGATAAAATCAAAAGAGCATTTTCTTTTTTAAAAAGTATCCACAGAAAAAATAATATATGATACCTTAAAAAAGTTTTCTTGTTGCTTAACCAGTTTTGTTATGTACAGTTACCTTACAATGCCTCAAGGATACAAAGATGTATCATACTAAATTTTGTAAGAATTAAAGGAGTTTCCTTGCTTCTTCAGTTAATGAACTGAGACTTTGCTTGTAGGCTCATGTGTAACTGCAGTGTGACAAGATTTTTTGTTTAAATACATTTTGAATATAAAGCTTAATTTGAAAAACTAATGCAGATAAACCTTTTTGTTAGTCATATACTTAAGTTTAAAGATAGTGAGACTAAGTCAGCAGTGATAAAGTCTTTCCAAAGCATATGGGTAATATGTAAGGCTTCCAGACTTATTGGCTACAATAAGCTATCTGTAGTTTTCATATTTGTGATTTATATAATAGAAATGTGTTTGGAGAGACGACTTTTGCTCAGGGTCTTTAACCCTTTTATGAGGTGGTAATAATTCTTACTCTGGTGTTACATATTATCAGGTTTACTCTTCTTTGAGTGCTACAGTAACTAGTAATTTAATTCCTTTATGATCAGGTATTTAATTAAAAAAAGGCATAACGTGAATGGTTATTCAGGATGAAAATCTTTTGGTGATAAATGAAACAGATCATAAGTAGATTACCTTTTGGGTATAGTTTGTCATCCTTAACCTTTGTTTGTATTAGCAGATAAAAACTTCATAAACAGGCTCATATATTATGTGCTATATACATAATAGCCAGTGTTGTAAGCTTTACTTCTGTTAATTATATATTTTTTTAGATTGTATGGATATATGACTGCTCCTGATCATATCAACTGTTACCTAGATTTTTTTTTATTTTATGCAGGCAATTGTACATTATTTTTTGGATTATAC